GTAATAGAAAACGTGTTATTTGTAAGGATATGTGGAAAAATAAACGATGATACAATAATAATGACAAGGATATAGTAATAATGATAATGGTAATAATAATGATAATAATGATAATGATGAATATAATAATAATAATGATAGTAATGATAATAATAATGATAGTAATGATAATAATAACAATAATGACAATGATAATAATGATAATAATGATAATAAATGAATAGATAAATAGATAGAAAACAAAAATAAAAGATTACTACATAAGCAACAACAACAAGGTAGCGAAGGAAATTATAACTGATAGTATTTGATAATCAGCTTGTGGCCTCTAGAACTTTATGGCGCATCACTGCTAGGTAGAAAGCACTTAAATAACTATAGGTGTAAGATGTAAAGAAAGATGAGCTAGACAGAGAGGAAGAGAAATAAGGGGGAGAGGGTGAAGGAGAATGAGCGAGGGAGGGAGGGAGGTAGGACGATGGGAGAGAGGGAGAGAGCGAGGGAGGGAGCGAGGGAGGAAGAGAGAGAGCGCGAGAGAGAGAGAGAGAGAGAGAGAGAGAGAGAGAGAGAGAGAGAGAGAGAGAGAGAGAGAGAGAGAGAGAGAGAGAGAGAGAGAGAGAGACTAAACAGAGACTAAACAGAGACAAACAGGAAAATCCTACGTGGCTGTTGCGATTGAAGCCGAACCCGACGAAGCGCTCATCGTGCCAGGGTGCCGTGTAGGGCAGGACCATCAGCGGCTCCCAAAACTCCTGGTAGTTGGGAATGTCGTAGAGAACACGGTATTCCGATGCATCTTCGTCGGTCGGTTCCACCTCCCAGTGCTGCGGGAAACGGCCGTTGCCCTGGTTCCGGTCGTATACCTGTTGGGCGGTTGAAGCATCCGGATACAGAACGGTGTGAGTTATTGGTATTACCCTGTGTATAAGATTTGTAACTTTAGGCATAATTGTGTGATCCTCTAATGTGTGTGTATATATATGTACACACACACACACACACACACACACACACACACACACACACACACACACACACACACACACACACACACACACACACATATATATATACATATATGAAAAATTGAGTAGTGCAATGCCGCACTGATATAGATATAATAATAGATATATAATCCTAGGTCACTCCGGGTATGAAACCGGAGGGCCAGTACTAAACCAACCATACCACACCACCCACTAAAAGGAGTGTGTAACTAGGATCTACCTGGCTCCACAGACATTACTCCAACTAGTCATACATGAGTAATAATAGATAGGTTTTACACACACTCCCCGTGGGTACTCGGTGGAAAGTGATTTAGAAATACGAAACCGAAATCAGATGTACTAAGGAATATATATGAAAGATGGAATAATGCAATGCCACATGGGTATTGATATATAATAACCTTCCCTGACCGGTTTCGAATTTCTAAATCAATTTCCACCGATTGGTTTAGTACTGGCCCTCCGGTTTCGTACCCGGAATGACCTAGATTCGAGGACCGGTCAGGGTAGGCTGCTACATATTCTTACATACATACATACACACACACACACACACACACACACATATATATATATATATATATAAGCACACATACACATACACATATTATATTTGTATATATATACACATGTAAATACATACACACGTATGTATATATACATATATATATGTGTGTGTGTGTGTGTGTGTGTATGTGTATGTGTGTGTGTGTGTGTGTGTGTGTTTGTGTGTGTGTGTGTGGGGCGGGGGGGTGTATGCGTGTGTGTGTGTGTGTGTGTGTGTATATACGCGTGTGTGCGTGTGTATGCGTGTGTGTGTGTGTGTGTGTGTGTGTGTGTGTGTGTGTGTGTGTGTGTGTGTGCGTGTGTGTGGTGTGGTGTGTGTGGTTGTATCTGTATCTGCGTTTGTGTTTACAAGAAGATGCCATATATCCGTAACCATTCCATTACCTTGACATGGAACACCTGCGCGAGCCCTTTGTGCACCAGCTCGAGCAGTTCTTTCTTGTTATCGGGGTACTTCTTAACGGAGTCATGAACCTCGTAAGCAGGCACGACGTAGATGCACTTCTCACATGGTTTCGTCGTCTCCATCGTCGTGAGGAAGCCGTTTAGGTTCTCGGCCATGCGAGGGGTGGCTAGCATGTCGATGTCGACGATGTGGATGTAGTCGCAGGGGCAGGCTTTTCTGGCCACGTTTCTCATGTGGTTTTGAGGGTAGTGGGTTTCCATGGGTTCTGTATTGTCGCGGAGACTCATAAGCAACCGGTTCACCCCTTCCGGATCAGAGCAGTTGAGGGCAAACGTCTTCGGCGAGGGAGAAAGCTTAGGCGGCTTGCCAGCGGGGTACATGATGTGGAAGGATACCCAGTCTCGCACAGGTGGGAAGCACTTCCTCATATACGTCACCATTTCGACTGCCACGGCGTACTCGGAGCCCGCGACAAAGATGCCCATAGACACAGGACCTGCAAACGCCTCGGCCTGGCGCACCACCCAGAAAATCCTGTCGACCCCGCCCTGGGCAAGGAGGCACACCTTGGACTTCGACGTGGCCTCCTCCCACTTTTCTGCCGGCCACACGAAGTAATGGCTCTTGTAGTAGCCGCTGTTGTCCGACAAACCATACGACGAGGAGATAGGGTCACCCGAATCTGGCGGGGCTACATGCTATGAAAGGTAATGAAGAAAAATTGAACCGTATTCACTGCGACAACTGCAAGAAAAGGTGTGAATGAGAATGAATATTTTCACAGTGCAAGGAACTTTTATTTGACCGGTTTCGATTACATCGTCAGAAATACATGTTTCTTGGGAAAATATTCATTCTCGTTCATATCTTTTCTACAGGTGATCAGGAACTTGACTAAACCAATGTAGGTATACACAGTTATTAATCAACTTTCCTCATCCTCTCTTGCCTGGCTTTAATCTCATCAGCTGATTCTCAGTCTATAACCATCACATATTTCTAAGTCAAAGCCTACCGTAGAGATTTTGGAGCGAGGTATGGCAGAGTTGTCCTTCATTTCCGGTTTATTCATGAGGTTAGCCGCTAGGAATAGCGCCAAGAGGACCAGGAGATAGGCCTTTATCCTTGCGTTGACCTGAAGCAGTAAAATAGTAACAGAATATGAGGTAATACTAATACTGATGGGATTTTTCATTTTTTCATATAGATGAAAAATCACAAATGTATATATATATATATATATATATATATATATATATATATATATATATATATATATATATATATATATATTTATATATATATATATGTATATATACACACACACACATATGTATACACACACACACATGCATGTAACTTTCGCCCTCTTTCCTATTTACAATAATTTTTGAAAAAAATAACGGGTATAAAGAATACAGCTTAATAAGAAAAATATTACGAAAATACTTAACACCGATAAGATTGTACTCTGATTAGCATAAAGGTGATAACTAGGCGGTACATTGCTGTTAGGAATTTGTTTCCCTATACCGTCCTTGAACGATGGAAGGGGGAGGAAAACTAGACAAGTGGTGAATATTGCAATCTTGGGGCAGATCTGTACATTGAGTCTTTTATGCAATGTTGTCGATAAACAACTAGTGTACATGGTATGTACACTAGTTCACATGATACAGCTTTTTTGGCAATTAAACAACACGGCTGGTGAAGATCAACTTACATATCTACATGGAAATTGTGTTAGCTTTTTTGTTAATATTAATGAATTTGTTATTTCGCATCAGGGTGAGCATATAAACATACTTTAGTTCATTTTTCTGATGCTAGAGTGACCTACTATTCAAGGGGCTAAAATTGTACTTCATTGTACAAACATTTTTCATTATCAACATATTCCACATAAAGTATCTCAACTTCGAGACTATGTGAAGTATGATCTCTTCTGTTGTTACCTTAGTATAATAAAAAGAACAGAGATGGCTGCTCATTCCAGTAAAAAAAATATAATTGTTTCAAATTATTAACTAATAACCAGGTTAAGTGATGAGGTTGAGAAAGCTCATCGGGAAAGTGATCAAAACATTTCAAATGATCATGTAGTCAAATGTTGGTTCAAATCCCTTTTTTATGAAGCATTATGTGTTAAGAATACTTACATCTTTGAAACCTTGTAATGGTATCTTAAACATTTAAAATTATAAGTAATGCCAACAAATAATTATGATACAAGTTTGTGTGGTAACAGAAACACACAACATGATTTTGTGATTTATTATAGAGCAGAATACAGCTCGAATACAAGCATAGAAGTAGGTCTTGTTGGAGCTGAAGCTGAAGTCCAGGTAATGTTCGGCAACATTCACTCATTCCTTTGATATTTGCGGAGATCTAGTTTCGCCCGGGCCTACCATATACATGGCCTGGCATATGTCAGCTATTTATGGCTGTCTCATTTTGTTCTCTGACACTCGACGCTTACTGTGGTGGCAGGATTGCTAGCAGGTACTCATGCCACCATAATGTAAGTATGCTGCATAATCTCTTTACCAGCCCGGCAGCTGTTGTCCCAAAAAATGCGTATGCTCACAACTCTGTAAATAATGTAACTGTGTGACGTAAAGGAATCGACTGATTCAATCGTTGTACTACCATGGCTGCAGTGACCCTCTTGGCTTCTGCTATTGATTCTCCTTGACAAGCTCATAACAAATAACTCAATTAAGGTTTGTGCTCACGGCGGGGCTTAAATAAAGTCAGGGTGGGTGGAGTTGTTCAGGAACCTAAGATCGCGGCTTATATTCAGGTGAATGATGTAAGGTTCAATGTCGCTGATGTTTGAAACGTGCTGTTTCGCCCAGGTCGGCGCACCTGACCAAACGAGTCAGGTGCGCTACAGTAGTCCCCCTGACGGTGTGAGCGAACATAATAGGGTAGGTGTTAACTGTAGCCTCCATATATACTGGCTATGGAGGCAGTGGTACCTCTGTCGATGGTGACAGACTTGTTGGTCCTGGATTTCACAGGGTATGGGCCTTCATATGGTGGTTGGAGCGGGGGTTTGGTCGCGTCTACACGAACCAGGACATTGGCGCAGTGCTGAAGCTCCTTCAGCACAAAGCTGGGGCGCTTCTGTGATGGTTTGGGTGACTGAGCTCGAATTAGGGCTATACTCTCACAGAGCTCCTTCACGTAGTCATAGCGTAAAGGCATGTCGTTTTAAGCCTTTATGACCAGATCAGTGGGGAGGGAGATGCCATACAGTGCAGCCGAGGTTCTGTTCACAGCCGTCCGGATGCTGAGGATAATGAATGGGAAGTGATTCACCCAACTGGAAGGGGCAGCTTTGGTGAAAGCTGTCTTCAGCTGTTGGTGAAAATCCTCGACCATGCCATTGGACACTGGGTGGTATGCCATTATCCGGATCGGAGTGCCCAGGAGAATCATGAGTTCCCTCCAAAGTGCAGACTTGAACTGGCGGCCACGGTCCGTTGTTGAAAGCGTTCCGAATCTTGCCACCCAGCTGACGACGAACGTTCTGTAAAAGGTGGTTGCAGTAATGTCCTTGGGTGAATCTGTAAGTTAGGAGGTAGGCATAGTTACTGTCTGTCGATAGGGGTTGGGTAGCCCTGATGCCATGCTATTGGTGGTAAGCTTGGAAGAATCGCCTTTGGAGGGCAGGAGTGATGTAAGGGTTTGGATGGCCAGTCAAAGTGTGCGCCACCTGACCAAACGGCGCTCGCTCGGCGCTAGCTCCACTTTAATATGCTAGACAGATTTAGTAAAATCATTGCATGTAAATGAAGCTGAAGCTTATATGCACATTTCTGTGTGCATTAAAAATTATAAAAATTATGGAATACGAATACACAGTCATGGATTTCGTAGAGAATATGAATCTTAAACATTAGGATCATTTCACATCCTCGAAATATTACATTCGTTAGTTGTTACCAACCACTATGTGTGTCTTCTCAACGTAAGGAAAAAATGTGGAAAATATGGAAAATGCAAATGGTACCCCCCCCCCCGTAACGAATAATTTCACCTTATACTGACATACAGACAGGCAGACTATGTGTGACTCACTAAATCTTTTTGTGAATGTAAAACAGTAAAAGAAATTAAACAAGTTAAAAATCATTACGAAATTCCAATATGCATATGCTATAAATCAGATTCACATTCATAAGCTCATTTTGGTATAGCTTGATCAGATTAAAAAAAAAAAAAAAAAAAAAAGATACTCTGCAAGAACAGCTTTAGCGAAATAACACTTTTTATTCCGCGGGCACCCTAGGCACACGGGAACAAAACCATCGTTCATGGGTATCACCTCAGTGAGCATACATGCCTAGCACTACTAGAAGATGCATGATATTTCTTTCAGAGACATTGACTACTATTTCGCAAATATGTCAAGAGACGAGAGAAGAGGCAGATGTATGTGGTCCTGGTTAGCAAGAAGATAAAAGTGTTTATCATGACTTTATAAATTCCTTTCAAATGCGTATAAGGAGTCTACGCACACTATCAAGCATTTGTCTGTGATGAAAGTTCCTGTGTGTGACCACCCCTCTACACAAGCTATGCTATAAATTTCTAAAGTTATTCATAGAAATTTTAGCATTCTACTTAAACTTTGAAATACGGTGATATGTTGCCTACACATATTAATAAAGCTCGTATTGCTTGGTGTGACAGGTGACCTGAGAACTAAAAAACATTGTTTTGACATGAAAAGACATAACGCCTGGTTTTATCTGATAGAAACAGGCAATTCGATTAATAAACATATTGGGCGGAATGCTGCAGTAGTAGCTATTTAGCGAAATAACACTTTTTTAAACCAAATGAGAAAATAAATTAATCATTGGCTCCACCCCCCTCTTTCTCTCTCTCTCTATATATATGTGTGTGTGTGTGTGTGTGTGTGTGTGTGTGTGTGTGTGTGTGTGTGTGTGTGTATGTGTGTGTGTGTGTGTGTGTGTGTGTGTGTGTGAACGTATGTATGCATATATATACATATACATATATATATACATATATATATACACATATATATGAATAAATTTATATATATAGATCATTTTCACCCACGTGACCATACGCATAGCAACGTTGTTGTCCGCCATTACGGTGTTCCAAATAAATGCGCGTGGCTCATGTATCGAAGGCTAGTTTGGACAAGATTAGAGATAAGATAAAGGGATGGTGCTCTGCTTGGTCGTTAATTGCGGTAGAAAATCGGGAAAACGCGATAGAAAGAAGAAAGAGAAGGACGAAGACAGAAATGGGCCTAACAGTGAAGAAAGTCCCGTCCTCTATTTTTCTAGAGCTCCTGCCATCATTACAAATGAAGATGAGGCTATGGAAGAGTTGACTAGAGAGAGAAGAAGGCGACAGATCTCGGCATTAAGTATAGATGATTTGACTGAAAAGAAACTGGCAAATGATCGAGTTTGTAACCTACAGGTATAATGTTGATTGGGTATCGACACTGAGGCTTGGGCACTCGAAGAATCTGGGAAAAGATCATGCCAATGTTGAAGAAAGAGCTGCGAGGGTTACAGGGAGGCGTAAACTTGCAACTGATAATTGCAAACATGAAGTTCAAGCAATAAGATTTAAGGAAGATGATAGCCTACAAATGCCAAGAAAGGGGGAGGAAATTATAGCCTCAAATGAAGCAACAGATTTGGACTTCACTGTTGATCCTGGCCAATGCATTGAAGCAAGTGAAGAAATTAGATTTTGTGATGCTGCAACATATACTGATTAACTTCAGTATTTATTCAAAAGCCTTGCCATCCAAAAGTGCTTTGTTAATGACGATACCAAAGTCAGGTTCTATACTGGACTGCCATCATATGATATCTTGCAGACAACTTTTGATTATGTAAATCCTGATATTGATGTGAAATCATCTACACTCCAGAGCTTCCAGCAGTTCATCCTAGTTTTGATGAAATTAAGGTTAAACGTACCCCATCAGGATCTTGCATACAGATTTGGTATATCTGTGCCAACAGTTTCAAGGATATTTAAGAAATGGATAGACATTCTTGATAAAAAATTAAGCCCAATCATTTCATGGCCTGAGAGGGAAGGCTTTTTAGTATTCTTTTGGTAAGA